TCGGTGCCCGTAAATTAATTCGAAGGGTGTGAACCCTGTCGCCGTGTGCGGTGTTGTATTGTATGTAAACATCGCATAGGGAATCCATTCGTCCCAATCCGTTTGATCGGCGTTTATATAATGTCGGAGGTATTCGGCTAGAGTCCGGTGAGATCGTTCTAACGCTCCGTTGCTTTCCGGATGATACACGGTTGTTTGACGAAAAATCTTTTCGAGTTTTAATAGTTTGCAAGTATTTTTAAATATTTCACTTAAAAAATTTGTTCCTTGATCCGTTAATATTTTTTCTGGAATACCGTGCTCGAAAATTATTTTTGTCGCGAATTCTTTTGCAATTGTCGCGGCTTTTTGGTTCGGTATCGGAATTGCTTTACTAAATTTTGTTAAATTATCCTGAAACGTTAAAATGTATTCGTTTCCATTATTCGTAATAGTTAATGGACCTACGATGTCTAAAGCACATTTTTCAAAAGGTTTATTGACAGTATCCGTTATTATTAGCGGTGCTTTAATTTTTCGCGATAATTTGTTTTTCTGACAAAATTAGAATACGTCGCTTCTCATCTTCCGTGTATTCTTGCGTTATCTTCGTGTCGTTGGTCTTATCCTCCTTGACGTTGTTGATATCCGCCACGTGTCGACTTAGCGCGTCAGCGTTTCTGTTCGCTGTCCCGGCCTTGCGTATGATCTTATAGTCGTATTCTTCTAATTTCAATCTCCATCTAATTAATCGAGATCCAGGGTCGGTTATATTGAATAACCATACGAGCGATTTATGATCTGTGACTATTGTAAATTTTGTCCCGTATAAGTACGGTCGAAAATATTTAACGGCCCATACTATTGCTAATAGTTCTTTTTCGGTCGTATTATAATTTTGTTTGGCCTTTGATAGTATTCGACTGGCATATGCTATCGGTTGATCTTGTTTTCCTTTTCCGTTAGCTTCGTTAATGGTTTCGCAATTTTCGAGAAAATTTCAATAAATTTTCTATAGTACCCGGCTAATCCTATGAAAGCTTGAATATCTTTTACTTTCTTAGGCGTCGGAAAATTTCATACGGCTTCCAATTTGGATGGATCCAGCGATATTCCGTTAGTAGTATACAAAGTGTTACATTCTGGGCCGGATTTTTCCCTCCACTAAAATCAACTAAAAACATCAAAATCACTTATAAAATCATTCATAAAAGCAACAAAATTACAAAAACAACCAAGGGCGTCCTTCGGACTTAGCGTCCCTTGTTATTGAAGAATAACCATTTATCTTCATTTGTTTTAAGTACTTTTTACGTGGAAAGTATTTCAAATTTTTAATAAAATCTTTTTCACGTAAAACATGCATTTGTTTTTTAAAATACTCTTCCATTTATTATTAATAAATGTCTAAACATAACCTAAAAATGAAACATTTTAATTTTATAGATAAATATAAAAGAGGTGGTGGATTCTTCCCAGATGTAGTACGTGGTATAATTCTAGGTGAATCGGGTAATGGAAAAACATTTTTATCTACTAACTTTGTCGCAAACAAATGGCTACCATATAGACAATTATATGTTTATAGTCCATCTATAGACCAACCTACTTATGTAGGATTAGAGAAAGAGTTGGAAAAAGCTAAATATGATATTAATTATTTATTTGAGGGTAATTGGGAAAAAATTTTACCGGTAGAAGAATGTGCATTAAATAGTTTAATAATTTTTGATGATAGAATGTTGAAAGATCAAAGTAAAATAATAAGATATTATTGTGAAGAAAGGCATAAAAATTAGTATTCTTGGATTATATCATTTATATACTAAAATAAACCCTATAATTAGAAAAAATTCAAATCTATGGTTTATTTTTAATGAGTTTGGAGATAATCTCATAAAAATACATGAAGAAATGGCTTCTGAATTAACGTATGAAGAGTTTTGTAAGTTCTGTAAAAAAGCTTGGTCAGAACCATATGGATTTTTGGAAATTGATAAAAAAAAAATGATGAATATTTCTTTCAAAAAAATAATGAATTATTATTATTATTATAAATGGGAAGAAATTTGCGTAAAATATCAGACAAAGGACAACTGTTAAATACTGATTCAGAATTGTCGAATGCTTCACCGTCGTCGTCGTCGTCAAATACAAAACCGTTAGATACAGCCTGTACACATAAGATTTTAAATACAGACTGTACTCATAAGATGTTAAAATCACTTAACAAACCTCCGGTTCTTGAATGCAAATCTCCGGTTTTTAACATGAAAACGGGGTTTAATTTTGGAAATAGATCATTTAAAAGTACATATGAAATAATGGGTACAACTCCACAAGAACTGGCTGAAATAGAAAAGAAGCAAAATGAATTAAGAAAAACATTTCAAAATGCAAGAAATTTAAATACTAAAAAAAGTATAGATTTAGAGGAAAAAAATAAACCAATAACTTCTAGACTGGATGAAACGAATAAAGAAATTAACATATTGATTGATAAACTGGACTCGAGTCTAAAATCAGCGCCTGAAAGAAATAGTCCAAGGGACGCTAAGTCCGAAAGACGCTTAGTCCAAGGGATGCTAAGTCCGAAGGATGCCACCGATGTACGACCTTATCAAGATACTAAACTTGAAGAAATATTAAAAATTCTTAAAGGTTATACAGAGACTGACGATAGTGATGAAGTATTTGAAGAGACCTTCGAGCACCCTTTGGACGCGGTACCATCTATTCGCTCGACCCATTCACCTAAAAAATCAACTTTTCCAGTGTCACCAAGAATTAAAGAAGAAGGGGGTCCTTTATGGAATAAATATAAAAACCATCTTTATGATGAAACGTTTGGAGTCTGGCGTGACAGAGACAATAATGATAGGTTAATGATAGGGAATAAAACTAGGTTAATGATAGGGAATAAAATAGGGAATAAAAGTAACACAAAATGATAATATTATTTTTTATGATGATAATAATATAAAAATAGTAACTCAACTTACTAATCAACAAAAACAAAGTCAATGCGCGAGCAAAAAGAAAATGAAAATGATAAATGAAGATTACATACGTAAAATATAACGATTATTTTGATAGCAAATTGAAAGCTCCAAAATGCAAAAAATAAATCTTATAAATGACATCAAAACATAGTTCACATCAAGACCTTTTATTTGAAAAATATCAAGATAAAATTGTGAAATTACAATATGAACAAAATATTTGACCCAATAAGATCAAGGGTGTTAAACTCTGAAAATGAAGGACTTTCTCTTATTAAAAAAGAGCCGGGTAAAATTATTCTAGGTTTATTAATCCGAGGTATATTTGCTATTCAAAACTTAAAAAATCTCATAGAAGAAGAAAGAATAAATCTCATAGAAGAAGTACCGCTAGCTTTTGATATAAACAAATTTGAATTTGAGAAGAATAATAATGAAACAAGAGTGTATAGTCCTGTAAAATTAATAATAACCCATCCTGGTAAAATATTTGATATTCCACAATATGCTGTTATAGAGTCGGGTATAGAAATTGTATTCAAAGGCGAAAACCGGAAGGGAGTCACTCTTAGTTCAAGCGCCAGAAAGGCTAAGTCCGAAGGACGCCCTTGATATGTGTGTATATTCAAATTTTGTGGAAGGACCGATATTTAGATTTGTTGCAAATAAATAATAATGAATTAAGAGTGTATAGTCCTGTAAAATTAATAATAACCCATCCTGGTAAAATATTTATTTGTAATAAATCCAAATATCAATTCAGGTCAAGTCCTTAATTCACGTCAAGCGTCTGAAAGACTAAGTCCGAAGGACGCCCTTGATCCCTCCACATAAGGTTTTTATAACCAAAAGGAGACGTTTCTATATTATTGTTCGATGCGCCGTGCGTTCGTTGGAATTTTGTGCGTTGCACGTGCTCGAACTATGGCGGCAGAAGTTTTACCTCCCGGACCGCCTATTTTACTTCTCGCAATTCAGATCAGGAGGTGAAATCATGGATGCGATGTGTAGATGACACAATCCAAATAAATTCTTTTATTGCACTCAGCCAAAAAATACTTATTACAAACAGATCAAAAAGAACACAAATGAAAAAGAATTGGTTAGCACGTGTAATCGAGAATACTGCTATGCACGACTGGCACACACTGCCGGAACGGAACTACAACGCCCTACCAAAGTAACTAGGCGCTCAGGAGCGTAGGATTAAACGCAAGGCTCCCAACAATTATTATTTAAATATACTTTATCATCGTATGCCGATAATGCTATTTTATTTGTTTTAACAGTGTAAAGTTTCAACTCTTTTGATGTAATATTGTATACAGTTTCATTTGTGTTTTTACCTTCAAACAAACAGTTTTTATACATATCAAATTTCATTTTTCTTATATTTGATCTTTTTATTCCTTTGCAAACTTTTTTCTCTTTCATTTCTGTTATAAACTTTTTAGTATTTTTACAAAACTTTGTTTCAGTTTCATCGTATCTAAAAGCATACATTTTAGACCTTAATCCAACCCATTCTCTTAAAGCTATCCCAAGATATTCATCTTTGAATAAACCGATTACTTTTTTATTTACTTGTGGCATCCAATCGATTTTATAATCACTCGTATCAAAATAATGTATGTTGTTTTTTATATCCATGTAAAGATCATCTGTTTCCACATAAATAATAAATGAATCAGTATCAGTTTGTAACAATTTAGCTTTATCACAATAATTCTTCTTCAAAAAATTATAATAAAACTTATACATCAATAACTTTGATAACTCTAAAACAACAAACCCACCATATATAGGTTTATTTAATGTTATTTCTTTCTTTTTTCGATACACAAGCACTTTATCATCATCTATTATTTGTCTATCTTTATAATTTTTACACTTTGCAAAATTTTTATATGAATTAAACAAGTCCACTTGACATCTGTTTCTTACCTGCTCCATTTGTTTTCCGTATACCAAATTATTCATGAGTTTAAAAAAGTCCTTTTCAAATCCGTTTTTGGCTTCTTATCTAAGTTTTGTATTTAAATCAATGTAGGGTTTCAACCACGCTTTTTGTCTAAATGATATTACTTTTTTTATATCTTTTAAGATTATTCCTTGATTAAAGCATTCTTGTAACATTCTATAATCAATTAAATAATTATTCTTTGATTTTAACGTGCACATAAGTTTAGCGCCAGTTGGTATTTTACCTATTCCCTTAGATATCATTTCTTTTTGATATTCGGATAATTCATCATAACTAGGTACATAATGTTCGGGTAACATTGGATAATTTTTAAATTTATCATGCAATTCCAATGGGATATCCAAATCAACGAGAAATGTATAACCATATTCTCCGTAATAAGGCAAGTTCTTAATTGTCTCAAGAGTGAAATCATTTACATCTTCATATTTAAATTCTCCTATAGGAAGAGGTTGACTAAGCGCATACCCATATAGATTATTAGCATCCAAGTATAAAATATAGCTAACATGCTTTTTACTGTTATATATACCTTTTTCTATCGCTTTTTCTTTGGATAGTTTAACAGTCTTTCCAATTTTATTATCATAAAAGTAACAATTATTAGCTAATGCATATCTGTGTGGAATCATAGATATTCCTCTAAATGATATTACTTTTTTTATATCTTTTAAGATTATTCCTTGATTAAGACATTCTTGCAACATTTGGTAATCAATTAAATAATTATTCTTTGATTTTAACGTGCACATAAGTTTAGTACCAGTTGGTATTTTACCAACTCCTTTAGATATCAATTCTTTTTGATATTTAGATAATTCATCATAACTAGGTGAATAATGTTCAGGCAACATTGGATAATTTTTAAATTGATCATGTAATTCCAATAGGATATCCAAATCAACGAGAAATGTATAACCATATTCTCCATAATACGACAAGTTCTTAATTGTCTCAAGAATGAAATTATTTTTATATTCATATTTAAATTCCCCTATAGGAAGGGGTTGACTAAGCGCATACCCATATAAATTATTAGCATCCAAGTATAAAATATAGCTAACATGCTTTTTGCTGTTATATATACCTTTTTCTATTGCTTTTTCTTTGGATAGTTTACAGTCTTTCCAACTTTATTATCATAAAAGTAACAATTATTAGCTAGCGCATATCTATGTGGAATCATTGATATTCCACCTCTTATTCCAGCTTCATATGTTTCATACATTTCCCTATCTGATAATAATTCTAATGTTTGTCCAGTGTATTTTAATGAAGCATCATTAGCAAAATGCAGAGCAGATATATACGGAGCAGATATATAATATACAGGGTCAAGCCCATATTCTTTATAACATTTTTCTCTAAAATTGTCAAAAACATCATGTAATAAAACAGTATCTAATTTCAAGTATAAATTATGATATTCTTTTACAGTTTTACATTTAAAATGTCTATATACTTTATGCGCAAATTTAAGTTTAGAAGGACTCACATTTTCATCATTTAAAGTTGAATACCATTCTTTACTTTTGCTAGGCAAATATAACTCATACATTTTAGCATAAGAGTCCATCCATTCATACATATAAATTCCCTTTTGTAGAACTAAATGTAAGTCTTCCTTTTAAATCTCTTTAACATAGTTTTAAATTTAGAATAAGTATAAATTATATTCTTTTACAGTTTTACATTTAAAATGTCTATATACTTTATGCGCAAATTTAAGTTTAGAAGGACTCACATTTTCATCATTTAAAGTTGAATATCATTCTTTACTTTTGCTAGGCAAATATAACTCATACATTTTAGCATAAGAGTCCATCTATTCATATATATAAATTTCCTTTTGTAGAACTAAATGTAAATCTTCTTTTTTAAATCTCTTTAACATAGTTTTAAATTTAGAATAATCAACAGGTTTAAATACATTTCCATTACACTTATTGCATCTCGCAATCATTTTGAGTACATCATGATCGTTTATAGGAAGTAATTTCATATTTGTTATTTCTTGAATAGTTTTGCAGCGTAAACAAAAACAATCGTTTACATCGAGTAAGTTTTTAACTAATGAATCTAGACTTTTGTCCATAAATCTAAATGTATCAATAAATCTCACCTCTATATGTATATTATTAATATCTCCTTTCTTTTTAATGTTGGTTTTCGAGTTGCATTCTCTACAGGTTTCAATAATTTCATTCTTATATATTTTTTCACATACTTTACATTTTGATACGTCATACTGTTGTTCATATTGATCAACAACTACGTTATTTATGGAAATTGTAACATAATTTTCTTTTGTATTTGGCATTATATTCAAAGCTTTCTTATTTTTCCGTGTGTATTTAGCCCCCAGTTTTAGAATCCATCTTAGAAATAATTTAGAATCGTATTTCAAATTATGAAATAATATTGGTACAATATTTGGTAATCTTAGTTTTAAGTTGCAGGTCCTGTATAGTGATCGTGATCTCTTACTTTTATTAGCGTCCTTTGGACTAAGCCCTTCGGGTGCCTTTTTTCATTAAATTCATTATTTCTTAATTTCATATTTGCAAATTCACCATTACAAATATGGCATTTTTTAGCTTTTCTGAAATTGTCAATATCTTCTTTTGTCATTGCTATTGGTTTATTTACTTTTCTAAGTTCATAATATCTTTTTGCATATTTAACAATAAGGTTGTTAAATTCATTCATTAACAGTTCAACACTCCCATTATTTATTAATTGTGTTTCGTCTATTGTATCAAAGCAGGAACTATTCGGCTTATGCTCATGAATTACATTCTTCATAATTGACTTTTGTAATGTTGCTTCGAAATCAGAACTAATTGTATATGGGTGATATTGCTCTATACCTATGAAAAAATATTGTTATCTTTTGTTTTTCATATATACACAGAGCAACATGATCATTATACTTTTCTTCTTTCTCAAACGAATCGTTGCATTTTTCGCATAAGTATTGCTTTCTATGCCTTGTTATTATTTGTCCTCTTAATAAAGCACTCATATTTTTAATTCCAACTACATGCTCTTTGTATATTAAAAGATTTATACATTTCCTATCTTTATAATTATCACTTACACGCTTGACCAGTGTTGCCAACTTGGTGGTTTTCCCGCTAGATTTGGTGGTTTTGGAAGACTTTTGGTGGCAAGATTTATTGGTTTAGTGGTTAGCGGAAAATTTGATGATTTTAAAGTAATTTTAGTAGGAAATTTGGTGATTTTAAGATAATTTGATGTTTTTATCGGAAAATATGGTAATTTTAATGTAATTTAGTATTTTAGGGCAAAATTTTATAAATTTAAATATTTTTAATGAGAAATGTCCTAAAAGTGGATAATGTGAAGGGAACATTATTGAAAATATCGATTATCGGCGTCTAATTTGATGGTTTAAAAATTGGATTGTTTTTATGCATATGTAATTTCAACAAACAAACTGAATTTAAAATACTGAAAATCTCAACCCAAAGCCCCAACCTAAACCCATAGTTAAACTGAGCAAAGTTTCAAATTCTTTGGCAATATTCGTTAATTTATAAAAATTTAAGTCGCCTACATCTCAATACAAAATTTCTGGAGAGGAATCGTAATCTCGTCAATTCAAACATAAATTTAAAAAAACTCAAATAAACTTGAAATTATTTGTTTTATTATATAATCAGTCTTATATAATCAGTATATTACATTTCTGATAAAATAAAGAAACTCAACGTTATTTATATTATATAATTTCTGATAAAATAAACTAAACAACGTTTATAACAAACTAAATAAACTTTCAAAAAAGAAATTAAAAAATTATATTAAAGTTGTCTCGTAGGATGTCTTATAAACGAAGTTTTAAAACTGCATTAAAATTAATTATATTCATCGAAACAAAAATCGATGATATCGTCATCCCCGTCAGTTGCTTGCGAGCTCGATTCGCCCGCTTTTTTTGTGTAGGCTTCTTTGGAACCAATTTTATATATAACTTCTGACGGCAGAACGTAGTTGTGGCAGCATTTGCCGTTTCTTTTCAGTCCGAAACGAATCGTTAAGATTGCATTCGTCATTTTGATCGACATCTTATTCCGTACTTTATTTTTCACAACATTCAATTGGCTAAATACCCGCTCAACTTGTGCATTCGAATACGGCAGAATGAGCATTGATAGAGCAAAAGTGGCCAATTCGGCGAACGGGTTACTTCCGGATGCGTCCCTGTATTTATTAACTTCATCCCAAAATGTAATGGTATCGGTTTTGTTCGTCCAATCAATCAAATTGATTTTTGAAAGTTGCGATTCGATGGCATCGATATCTCTCGAGCCATCCACGTACTCCAATAATGGTTGTATTGGTTCTTTAACCGCCCGCAATACATTATCCACTGACAACAGCGATATTTTTTTAAGGATACCTATGTTCTCGGGCAATCGTTGTTTGAGCTGCTTGAAAAAGCTGAATAAGAATGATTTGCATCGTTCGCGGATTCCTTGCTCTTCGTAAACGCTAATCTTTCCGTCTTTTCTGAGCTGCTCAACTTTTTTCTCGACAGCTATGTCCCAAGTACGGTTTAGGATCGAGATAATCTTCGATGGAACTTAGCAGAGGATCTACTTTACATGATGGCAATACGAGTTTTTTCGAAATTCCTTGCACGAGGATGTTGAGATCATTTAAAAGCTTTACGTGATCGTTTTTCTCGCTTTGAAATGCTTTGTTCACGACTTGTATCTCAGACAAAATCGGCTTCAGAAATAACAAGTACAACATGTTTCTTTCATCACAATACATGTTGTATAGAATCTCCGCAGAGTAGCATTTCTCCGAAAGTCTTGTCATATTGAAATGAGTTTTTAACTCGAGCCATTGATTCATCGTTCTATCTACAGCCGCCTCTATAGATAACCATCTCGTGTTGGAAACCTGCTATATTTGTAAAGGGCGTTCACCACAGTTGATCGTCTCGTAAAGCTGAGTGTATTTTATTTGACGGATAGCGGATTTTGAAAACCAATTATATGTTTCGTGAATTAAAAATTCGAGATTTCGCGGAAGAGTATCAGTCATGGCATGTGACACGGCGAGTTGTAACGAGTGGCAGAAACACTTGATCAAAATTAGCGACGGAACTTCTGTTTTCAGTTTTGCATAAACGCCGTTATTTATCCCGACCATAACCGAAGCATTGTCAGTTCCAATGGCCAACAAATTTTGTAAATCTAATTTCATTTCATCAAGAGTACCCTCAGCATTACATGTTTCCAGTTTGGTCAATGCTAAAAAACTTGCGATCGTTTTTCCCTGTTTATCACTGTAATATATTGTAACGACACCTAATAATTTGTTTACGGACACGTCGTTCGACTCATCTAATAATAAACTTAGTGGTTTCTGGTGGGAAAGAACGCAGAGGAGTTTAGTGGTTTTTAGTGGGATCCACGAAGCCCCCTAGTGGGATAACGATGATCCGAGTTGGCAACACTGAGCTTGACCAATAATAAACTTATCATTATTTTCATCCACTGTAAAAACATTTATAGCTATATTTAAAAAATCTTCATATTTTTTGTATTTTCTTTTATAATTTGTACAGGATAATACATATTTAACATTTCATACCTCGATATATCATATTCATAAGGTCTGTATACATGATCATCAACAGAATTAAGTATACTCTCTAACGCATACTCAAAGCATCTAAGATTTTCTTGATTCTCGCATTTAAATTGATTAGTTTTTCTATTGTTAACATTAACGCAGCATTTTTTTGCTATAATATAATTGGGTAATTTAACATAAGTTTCACCTCGAAGAGGGGTGTATTTATCGGACTGTAAATCAAGTTGAATAACTCTATCAAACACAAACTTGGTGTTTTTTGCATTAAAGTTTGCAAATTTATTTAAAATGATATTATGAATCAAGAAAATTATATCAGATATTATATCCTAAGATAAAATATGCTCAACATTACTATGAAAATAATGTGTATGTTTGTCAATTACATTACCAAATAAATCCAATGTATGATATGTGCACCTTTCAACTAATTTTATTGTTACAGCTGTATGTTTTCTAAATCCAGTTCGTATTTTATCTTCTACGTATGGTTTAGTTCTTTCAAGAAATATACTTAAATCATAACTATTTATATCTGAGTAGAATGTATAATCAACAAGCATGTTATTCCACACACCTTTAGCTCTAACAACTTTTACTTCTTCTTCTTCTTCTTCATCACAATAATTGTTTGGCAATTCTTTAAAGTCTTTTGATTTATATATAATCCCATCTTTCCTTTTTCTTGGTTGAGAAAAAATATCTTCATTAAAAGGAAATTCGTTACTACTTGATGGTTCCATTTATTAGCGAAAATTTTTATCAATATAATTTTTAGAGTTAACATTCTTAACATTCTTAAATTTGTGAAACTGGACTACTCGAGGAGGCTTCCATTCATAGTGGTGATGAGTCAAGACTCATCGCTGAGCGGCTACGGAGGCCAATTTTCAATCGTTTAATATGATTGGATCGCTCTGGAGACGTGCTGGGGATGTCGTCTCTCCGTGGCAATCGGCACTGCATCTATTGAGCGAGATTCCAACATCGCTCTGGAGTCGTATGTACTGTGTTAGAGTGGCGTAAGGTGCGAGGTCTGAATAGCTCAGTGGTAAGAGCAGTTGCCCGGAAAGCGAAAGACTCGGGTTCGATTCCCGATTCAGCCACTTGTACCTCGCAGCATGCGGCATGCGCAACTAATGCAGTGGAATGACAAGGACATGGAAGTGTAATTAAATTTTTACACATCTCTTCCAGCTTTTTTTTAAATGAAAGATGTTTTCCTGTCATTACGGACGCATTGTCACATGATAAAGCAACAATATTTAAAAATGGAATATTCAATTTCCACATTTCAGCTTTAAAGGCATTAAACAATTTTTCTGCGCTGCAATCTCTCGCATCAATATTAATTAATTTTACTAATTGCGAGCGAATGTTTAATGTTTTCGAATCAACATACCGAACAAGAAACGTCATCCATTTTTCATTTGAAATATCAGACGTTTCATCAATAAAAATTGAAAATTTAGTGTTTTGAATGCTGTTAACTATACGATCCGCCTCAATCGGACATAGCACATTTGAAATTATACTTGTACATTTTGTTCGGTCCATACTCATATTTTTCAAAACATTAAAATCTCTTCCTATTTCTTGGAAAAGAGTAAGAATATCTTTTGCCGTTTGATACGAAATATTTTTATCAGCAATTAACGCGGCATAACGGACTTCTGCTGATTTCTTTCGCTCTTCAAATGACAAAAGTGATTCGTTCATATTAATATCTTCACTGGACTTGTTTGTTTCATTTTCTTTACATTTTATAATATGTTTCTTGGATTCTGCGTGACGATAGATTTGAGACAAACCACCAACAACAGATATATTACAAAACGCGCAGAAAAATGAATTAACGTCATGTGACACTTCGCGTAGCCATGGCTTAAACAAATCGATATCTAACCATTGTTGTTTAAAACGTTTTCGTATTATTGTATTTGAACTTATATTGTTATTATTTAATAATAACGATGCATTTTCTTTATGACACGCAGAATCCGCATGTCTTTTAACGTGCGATAAACTGCACGAAAAATTTTTATTACATATAATACAATGGAAAAGGCTATCATCAAATGATACTTTGCGTATCCAAGATTTAAATCGATCATCACTAAGCCAAGCTTCTGAAAAGCTTCGCTTCGATTTTTTTTTTAATGTATCACACATTTCTATATAGAATTGTCAAACAGATAAAAATATAAATAAGAATATAAATAAGAATGAAACAGATAAAAATATAAATAAATTTGAGGCTTACAATTGGGATAGTTCCAACTTTCTGAACATCAAGATTTTACACAAGAGCACTGTTTAGAGAAAGTTATTAAAACGAAGTAGCAGCGTAAAGAATTCGAGATAAATTTGAATTGATATAATCGATTTATTGATTCTATGCCCGCGTACTACTTATCTAGTCGACATTTCGGCGAGAAAAAAGACGAGAGCCTATTCTACATATTTGAAAACGACGAAACTGTTCCGAGACAATAACAAGAAAAAAACACTTTGTCAGCTGATTTGGACATATCGAGACGAGCGGACACGACGGGCTATGCGTCTATTTGTAAACACAAGCAGAAATCTATAAATATAAATGGTGATTTAAAAATATATTTAATTTTATGAATTTTTTAAAATCCATATCCAAGTTTCCTTTTTAAGGATGTACTAACTAGACAATCCCAAAAGTTACTTCAATTTAAAATTGATGAAAAATTGATTTATTTTTTAATTTTTATCATCCGCGTATCTTGTCCGTAAAAGATATCACACCTATAAAGTAGATATGTAAAATATATATGTCTATAAAAGACATGAAAAAAATGTGGTACAATAGGACTCCAGGCGAAAATCCACGTAATAAAAAAATCTAACGCGCCATTAGTGGAACCTCATTGGTGGTGTGGAAGTCCATTCACTGTTCTCATATTATTGTAATATT